TCAACACAAGCTTACATCAACTACACTTTGTTGTGTATTGCGGTGCGGTTGCAGTTTTCTAGATGTAACGGTTCAAGAATAACAACAAACAAAAGAACACCACACAACAAAAAAGCGCTCACCCCCGGCTTGGGAAAAAACCGCCTGATTAATCGCATCGATGACATCAGACGTGACTTGGGTCGAATTACACAATACATACAAGGAACTCGTTCTTCAAAATTAACACGACAAGTACAACACAAACTACAAAACTAAACAATCACACCACACGAGAACAAAATACAAACTATAACGAAACATAGAGATACACTCACAACAAAAACTATCAATATACACAAACCGTTTTAAAACGCTATAGGGAAACTGCAGACAGAAAGCGCCATAACACACAATTTAAACATAACGAAAAACTATTAACAGATCACTAACACAAAACAGCACTAAATGAAAAACTCATTCCACCATCTCTACACTCACTTCAGCAATACTGGTTTGACTTATGGACCAAATGAACATTAAACAAATCCACACGCCCCCGTGGATTCCACAGAAACCACACGCACTGAATACATTACTCCTATGAATAACACAAACATCACTACAAACAGACATCATTCAAACTATTAATCACTTACATAACTGGAAAAGTCCAGGCATTGATAACATTCACAACATTTGGTGGAATATTTTTACCTACACTCACTCTTACTTGCGCAACAATTTACTGAACTTCTTAATTCACCAGATCGCAACTCCTGCATTCTTTACACAAGTATCACTTACGATGCTCCAAAAAGACAACAATACACAAGACCCATCTAGATATAGCACCAATTACATGCCTTTCCTACTTATTATTATTATTATTAGTGTTATTTTAATTTGTATAATGTTCAAATTTTCATCGTTTCTTAATTCGAAATAAACACAACTGCCCTGAAAATTTTATCAAAATTGATCAAAGTCACTGGGTGTTCAGATACTTATGGCGGATAGTATAAACTTGATGGCAGCTTACTATCTACTACCTGCGATCCATTGAATGCAATGCAGAACACAACGACCCCGACCGGGACCTCTACAACTTGACTAAGAAGTTCGAGTGGGGCGGAGAATATTAAGCGACATAACATCTCGTGGTAAAACAAGATTGGCCTGGGATTCATGTTTGAAACTTGATATTTACTTTTATTACACCTCAAACTGTCACGAAACATTGGTGCCATACTGTAGCAAATCGCCCAAATTTTCGGAAAATTCTTACATTTTTGAAAAAATATTATACATAATTGGCCCATGCCACAGGTATGGCGTATCGAAATTTCTATTTCTGACTATAAAAATAATAGGTGGAAAAATTTATAGGGTGCAGAAAATCGCCCAAAATTATTAACAAAAATGACATCTTTGTGCCGGTATGGCGGCTATGGGGGCCCGTCGCTGCTGTATGGCAGGTTGATTTTCGTGAATGACTGATTGAGGACTTGATGCTCATAAAAAATGAGCTTGTAGCAAATCACCAAAAAAAAATACAAACAATCGACACTTTCAAATGAGTATGGCGGGCTATAAGGCCCACCGGAAAAGTATGGCATTTCGTTTCCGTCATTTGTTTTGTCACCGACTACCAGAAAATCCACAGAATTTTGTGTAGCAAATTGTCCAAAATCATTAAATTTTCCGACATGTTTAAAAAATCGTCACGCAATAACGGCCCCACTCCCAGAGAGTTAGCACCATTTTCGTTTCGAGGAGTACTTAATTAAACCTTTGAATGGTCGCCATACTTGTAGCAAATCACACCACAAAAAGTGTCATCATCTCCCGGTCTACTTCTTTATAACAAAACGTGTTACGCATGCCAATCACGCGATCTTGGGCATACGCTGTATAGCCCCCAAATGTAGTAGTTGGCGCAGTATTGCATATCTTTTTTATAATATTGGATCGTACATACATGTTAAAATTCTGTGTCAAATTCCCATATGGAACATTATCAATGTTACACCTATAAATAGGGACGTATATATTGCAAAGCCAACATTTTGAAAGTGTTGTTCGATTATATACAGTGATATTCATGAAAAAGTAGACATAGGGATTTGTGTGTATTGTTTTCCCTGTGTACTTTTACATGAAAAAATTTTATCTGAAAGACGTCCAATTTTATGCAACCAAAATAAAGAGCTGGCCGTCATATTAATTAATTTCAATTTTTTTATTTCTGTATTTTTATTTTCGTTTGTGTGGGATATATACAACTGAATAAAACGTTGATATTGCAGACTGGTATATTGCCGGTATCAGTTTCAGGGCGCCAGACCAAAATGAAACTAAAAATGTAGGACCATACGAGGTTACAAAGCTCCGGCACTAGGGGGTTCTGGCTTCTTGTCTGAATACTCAGCAATAGCTAACATATACAATTATTTAATTTCAATAACAAAATATTAAAGTAACCAATTCCGTATGTAAGTAATATCAAGATTATAACACTATTATTATTATAACAATAACCAGACCAGCTGTTTCTCGCCTCACCTTTATTTCCACTGTTTAAAACATGTCTGTGTATCCCGATACAAATATTCACATTCGTGAGTGCTCAATAGGCGCAGAATTATAACATTTGGCGACCGTGACAGGACATTTGTTCGTGAGTTTTGTTCTGGGAACATTTTTGTGGAAAATGGAGCAACTGGATGTGGAACGGCTTTAAAAACTTGATACTTCTTCCCGGCAGGCGTTTACAAAAGCGTACAACGTTTTAGGGGTTCTTTTAGTTGGAGATGTTATAACTACTAAGCGAAAATCTCTTGGCAATTATTACCGGAGAGATATGAGACATTACAACTGAGCGATTACACTACCTAATGTCAGCTGATGAAGAAATTTCGCAAGAGAGTTTCACGGGAGATATAGACGAAGCAGAGAAGTACTTACGCCGGTAAATTTCTAACGGTAAATACGGGGTAGAAGAGCCATTGCAACTTCTTGAGCCCCTACCTAGTACTGCATCAGTTCAATCTACTTCTGGAGGATCGACAACAGGCGTAGTTAATATACTTCATAAAATTTAGTGGTTCCACTTCCACCCGCGGGTGGTTACGGTTTTGGGGACAATTTGAAAAAATAGATCGTGACGCACAAATGTCTACCGAAGACAAATTCGAATATTTAAGCGCGGCGATGGTTTTCGGTTCGCGAGCTGCTGAGTTAATTGCACGTTTTCCACCTACTGGCGATAATTACGAAAACAGTTACTAATTAAAAAAATACGTGTTTTAATTGTTTGAAAAGAGGCGATGGTTTTCGACGGTGCAGCTTAAGTGTCAATGGGGTCCTAGCATCACGTCATGATCATGTGTAGAAACCTAGCGAATAATAATCAATCGACAGATTAACCTCCTAAAGCTGATGGCGAGGGGGTTAAGACACGGCCTCAAAAGCATCATTTGTACAGACTACATTTACGTAGTGTCGATGGTAGTTATGCTTGTACTTTTGAAGAGAAAACTCGAGAACATATGTGATAAAATTGTTTCAATCAAGTAGGGCACTATCTAGCGCATCGGCACATATAATTCCCAAAATACTTTTGGACTTGAGGAAAAAAGAAATTTTGGAGTAATATAATAAGGTAATATAAATAAGGCATTTTGGCAAATAAGTGTCGCTAGGGTTCGAAATTGTTTGATGTTCCTTTGGTGGTTCGATTCGCAAACTGCAAAGATGGTTGAGTGGAGAAATGCACCTGTTGTTTTCGGAGTATCGAGCAGCCCTTTTTTGTTGGGAGCAGGCATAAAATTACATGAAATACCGCGCCGATTTATTGCTAATTCAATGATGGAAGATGGATTGCTTATACACACGTCTTGCGATGCTAGCGGAAAAGCGTATGCTGCAGCTCTTTATTTGAGAGCAGCATCGTCTCAAGGACTCACAGTCCATTTGACTACAGCCAAGGCGAGAGTAGCACCTACGAAGTCAACCACGATTCCCAGACTAGAGTTGTTAGCGGCCCCTATTGGAGCCAGGTTAACTAATGTTGTAACTCAAGAGTTGCAATACCAGAATGTTCGAGTATACATATGGACCAACATCTGATTTCTGGAGATTTGTAACTAGGTGAATTAAATCCGGCGGACTTGCCTTGCCAAGGATGTTCAGCTAAGTATTTGTTAGCGCCGAATTGGTGGGACAGCCCTTTATGGTTAAAGCAAAATTCAGAAGAATGGCAAAAGTCAGCGAAAAGGGTTGGAGTAATAATTTCTAACTCAAATTTCGCTTTACTAATGAATCAATGGGTTTCCATCAACAAAGCTAGCTGTGAAATATCGCTATCGATAAATGGATTTTTAACAAAAACAAAGAGAGGTTCCATACAGAACATGTTGTCAAAACGCCTTTCGAATTACGATTTTCCTATATATACCTACTGTGCATTAGACCGATGAAGCAAAGCCCTGCTCTGAATCGCAGTAAATAATCTACTTTGAAATTACGCGTAACGTGTAGCCATAGTATCCTGCAAGTCAGATCACAGCTGCTCTGAATAATAGTACAGAATGCCAATACGCGTTCGGGCTCCTCGAACCTATGGCGATTTGTGTATTCTGTGTGACTTAGTTCACAACACACAAAATAGACGTTACGTCATCAACCCTAGGCCTTAGTAAGTCTGTAAGAGATTTTGTTGACAAGATTCCGTCTTTGAAATTCTAATGTGGGTCGGACCTGGCTGAAAACATAAAGAACACACAAAATGGTCCTAGTCCATGCACTAGTTATACAATGGAAAAGCCTCTCACAAAAAGTAAATCACCTTGGTGGATTCGAAAACAAGCCGTTAGGTACATAGGTAAGGTGCTGATTTCC